ACATTAATATGAAGAAAACCTTGGGAAGTGGATAGTGATACTGATGAAGCGACAAAATGGATTGTTGGATTCTTGCATCTCTTTGAAATAAAGGGGAGGGGGAAACACAGAAGATAAAAGCCTCAAAACACACACAACATCTATACTATAATACTAAATTTAAATTTTAACAATACACATTAGTATTTATTAATTATAATATTACATACAAAGTGAATAAAAATAACAAGTAGCTGATTTTTATTTATTTAAGAAAAAATCAAAATGATGTTATATTAAGCATTTTTCATGACCAACTATGATCGGCCTTTTTTTTGTCATTTTTAACCGATTTTTGGTTTTTTTTACCAATTTTCTTCCCAAACGATTCTGTTGTTTACTTAAACTAGTTACCTGACTGGTGAGTTTGGTTTGATTTCCACAACATAAAATTAATGAAATGTATTTGATTAACTAGTATTCATTTTGTCAAAATATAACATATTACAATTAAAAAATATTATTAATTGTTATTAATTTATTTTTATATCCTTAATTCATTGTAAAATATATTAATCAAATATACTCAAATTTTTTGGATTTGGATTTCCTAACTTTAAGACGGAAAAGTTGGTATAACTTAATGCATTTAAACAAGATTTGTAAAAATAGGTTAAATTATGACACATGTATAATATATATTTTTACCTAAATATAAACATGTCACAATTTAATATATTATTAAGTAGATGTATTTATTAACCAATTAATAATATAAAATAAATTAATAATAAATATTAATAATATAAGTCACACTCATTGATAAGAAAATTTAGTTTTTGAATTATTAGTATTATTATTATATATAATCATCACTTAAATGATTTAATTTATAAGTATTTATAAAATTAATTAACTTAACTAGTTTTATTATTGTTAGTGAATTAATTATTTATTTCTCATATAAAGGATAAGATGAAGTATTGTTATTTTTTAAAATTAATTCCTATATATTAAAAACAGACTTTTACATTGTGCAAAATATTTTTAAAGAGTTTTTTATGAAAATTTTTTTAACTTCTTATCTAATTTAATTTTTATTTATTATAATTATTTATCAATGAAATTTTAATATTTTAAAATAAATTTTCAATGAATAAAAATAATATTATGTTATAATATAAATTATTTATCATAAATACAAAATATAATTTATACGTTGTTATAAAAAAATTATAATTTATATGTTTAAAAATATCTATTAATATAACTTTTAAATATAATTTATTTATTAAAAAAATAATTTATTTATATATAATTTATGATAAATTTAAGTTGTATATAATATATATTTAAATTGTACAATGTACGAAATAAAATGATAATTTATTTCAATAATACTATATTTATTTCATAGAAAATATAATAAATAAAAATTGAGTTATATAATAGAACTTAAAAGACCTATGTTGCGATGTTTTTGGGTAATATTTTCAGAAATTTCGTCCCAGTGACCTATATATACATGGACCTTGTACCTGTACCTGTTTTATTTTAATTTTTTACACAGCCAAATAGAATTGTTAATATAAATGGACCTGTACTTTTTTTTTTTTTTTTTTTACAAACCACGTTTAACTGCTCCATTCAAATAGATTTTTTTTATACAGCCAAATAGAATTGTTAATATCTACCAAAAACTCAGAATTGTTAATGAATAACAAAACTTTTATTTATGATGGAAAAAAAAAAGCAATTTTTTTCCAAATATTTAAAGTATTTTATATTTGTCTAAAATTACTAATTATAATAAAACAATTTCATATTTGTTGATGCATTTACTTAGTAGCATGAACCTATATATGTTGCTATTTGTTTTTTCTAATCGCATTAGCATTCTGATGAAAACATAATGAAATTCACTTCTTTTTTTTAAGAATTAGACTTTTTTTTAAAAAAAGAAAATATAGGATGAGAATGGACCGGTTCATATCATCGCTCTCACGGTCAAATATTTTTAATATTTTTCTCCCTTCACTCATTTAGTTGTATGTTTCATGCATTGCTTCCATAATTGGTAAAAAAAAAAAATTCTCTCATGGTCATCTCAAATTAGTCTTCAATATTTATCTTTATTTGTATATTTAATCTTCTTAATCATCTTTTCTTTTTAACCTACCATCTCTTGTCATTATTTTAAAATATAATTTCAATAGACTTTTGAAAAGAATTTGTTGATAATCAAAGTTTTTACTAAATAGTTTAATTTACTCTAAAAAAATATTTTACTTTATTACATAAATTAAGATAGATTCATAAGAAATATTATAAAGTTAATTAATTTTTTTTCTTCTAATTTTTTAAAAATTCAATCCAATCTCCAAATAACCCTACTATATAATACAACATTATCTTTAAACTCATGCAATGAAGAGAATCCTATTAAGGTAAAGTACAAAATGACTATCTACTCCATGTAATACATAATAGTTATTATTATTATTATTATTTTATAAGTATAAGTATATATATGAAAATCAATCTTTTTCTTTAAGAGGAATAGAGGATAAAAAAATCAATCTTAAAAGTCATATGTACAAACATAATATATGAATAATTTAAAAAAAAAATAATTTTGTTTCAACTAGAATGTATTTACAATTTTTTTGTCCTTCATCGAGTTTTTGTGATGAAACAATGTGTTGTTTGTATTTTACCTTTTTGTCTGCTTCTAGTTGTTGAAAATGTTTTCATTTTGGAAGGCATATATTTCCACGTAGAGGTTATTGACGTGAGTAGTCATTAATCCATTTGGCATGCACCCATTTTAAGCAGAGGTCACGAGGTACGTTGAGTTTTCAAAAATAGATTCAACCTTACATCGTCTCTCACATTGGTGCTCCCTCAGGGAGGCACCAATTCTAACTTGTTCTTCCCTTGTTTGTGTTCATCTTCTCAGAAAAACACAACCAAGGGAAGGGGTTCTGCTCCTTTCTTTTCTGCCTAACATATTCGGAAGAGGAGGGAAACAAATTAACACGCCTTGACCATCACCATTACCAAGTGGTGCTTATTGGTTGTGTTGTTGATCATTTTAGAGATTCCAAAAAATGAGCAACACAACGACGATGGCACCGTTTGATCTCTCAAATAGATCCATCATTTGCTACACGCCAACCATGACAACAACCAATGGCCTATGGCAGGGAGATAACCCTTTTGATTACTCCCTTCCTCTCTTTATCTTTCAATTAACGTTGGTGGTATTTGCCACACGTTTCTTTGTTTTCATCCTCAAGCCGTTTCGCCAACCGCGTGTCATTGCTGAAATCATGGTAACTTATGTTCTCTTTCTAGTTCCAATCACATTGATTCTTTATTATTATATTGCCATCTTATAACACAAGTATCCTCCACCGGTGTTTATTTCATTGTTATTATCATCAACTAGGAAGAAGTTGTTACATGGCCTCTGATAAGATCAAGAAACTATATGCATTAGGCTTTTTTGTTGTAACCATGTAGATATATCAACAGGAAATTAAACTATAGTTGGTAATATAACTTTAATATTGCATGGCATTGATTTTGTTGCTTTCAAATATTTTATAACTGGGTGGAATGATTTGATAATATTTATAGGGTGGATTGTTATTGGGTCCATCAGTGTTTGGTAGAAATGAAAGATTTGCCAATGCTATATTCCCTTTGAAAAGTGTGATGGTGATGGAGACAATGGCAAACATGGGTCTCATATACTTCCTCTTTCTGGTTGGGTTAGAAATGGACATTTCGATTATCAAACGCGCAGGAAAAAAGACACTGTCCATAGCCATTGCTGGAATGATATTGCCCTTTTTGGTTGGTATTGGTCTCTCATCTTTAATATTAGTGGACGACAAAAGCATGAGCCACCCCGGCTATGTCCTCTATCTTGCAACTGTTCTATCTGCCACTGCATTCCCGGTGCTTGCTAGAATGCTTGTTGTGCTAAAACTCATCAACACAGACTTGGGGAAGCTTGCTCTCTCAACTTCTCTCGTCAATGATGTGTGTACATGGATGTTGCTTGCTCTAGCTATAGCTTTATCAGAGCAAAACACTAGCAATTGGGCCTCTATTTGGGTTGTGTTATCAAACCTTGCTTTTGTTTCTTTCTGCCTTATTGTTGTTAGGCCAGCGGTCACATGGTTGATCAAGAGAACCCCAGAAGGAAAACCTTTCACTGAGTTCCAAATATGCATAGTGCTCACTGGTGTTATGATCTCAGCCTTTATTACAGATGTTCTTGGAACGCATTCTGTTTTTGGAGCTTTTGTGTATGGCCTAGTGATTCCAAATGGCCCACTTGGAGCTGCTATAATAGAAAAGCTAGAAGACTTTGTTTCCGGGCTTTTGCTTCCTCTCTTTTATGCCCTCATTGGGCTTAAGACTGATATCAGCTTGATCAGTGGAGCTAGTTCATGGGCATTTCTATTCGTGGTGATTCCCCTCTCTTGTGTAGGCAAGATTGTTGGGACTATGCTTATGACACTTGTGTTCCAGATACCAAACCGTGATGGGGTTGTTCTTGGTTTGCTTATGAACACTAAAGGCCTTGTTGAAATGATTGTGCTCAATGTTGGGAGGGAACAAAAGGTAAGCCACTCCCTTCCTTTGGTAATCCAATTCTACTCCCCTTAATGGATCAGCGTTATTATGAATATGAAAAATCAACTCTAATTTGCATATATATATGCAGGTCTTGGGTAATCAAATTTTCTCACTCATGATTATTGCAACACTCGTAATGACAGCAATCATTTCTCCCATTGTATCATTAATTTATAAGCCAAGAAAAAGGCTTGCACCTTATAAAAGGAGAACAATGCAGAATACAAGACTTGATTCAGAGTTAAGGGTCCTGGTGTGCATTCACACCCCTAGAAACGTCCCCACAATGGTCAATCTCCTTGAAGCAACTCACCCCCACAAAAGGTCTCCCATATGTGCTTATGTGCTCCACTTGGTTGAACTCACTGGTAGAGCTTCTGCCATGCTCATTGTCCATGCCAATAGACAATCAGGAGGTCCAGCCTTGAACAAAACACAAGCGCAAACCGACCACATCATCACTGCCTTTCAGAACTTTGAGGAATATATTTAAATATAATATTTATTTATATATATAGTTTGTTATAAATTATAGATATATATAATAAATATTTAATCCATACATTGCAAAAAACTAAAATGCTAATTATTTATAATGTGAATATTTTTGTTTTACTCTTATTGATCATTTTCATTCTAGATTCTTATAATTAGAAAAAATAATGTACCTATTTATTTTTTATATAAAGAAATGGAGAGAGTATATCTTAAGGATGCTAAACCAAAAAGTGTTTTTGTCGGTAAATTCAACTAGGGGAAAAAAATTACAACTTTAGAAACAATGAACAGCTTTTCAATTTCAATCAAGAAGGGTGCAACATTGAATTGTTGAAGAATGTTTTCTTGACTTTCCTTTGGAAGGCTTGGCAGTGGATAGAGACAATGAGCACTTGTACGTGTTCTTTGACTTCTTTAGTTGTTTGGCTCACCATTTGAACTTTGAAGAGAGAAGTGGAGTACAGTGGGGAAGAGAACTCAGAAAAAAAATAGGAATGCTTAAAAAGCAGGGGGACAGTCAAGAGTTTGAGACATATGCAAATCCATTATATTAAAAGAGACCACCAAAATTTTTTTAACGTGGATGGAAAAACCTCAAAACAATCCTCGTATATATATTAACAATCTTTAGATGCAATGAAGATCATCCATAATGCATACATCAAACATCACATCAGCAAGCAGAGGACTAGAAAATGGCAAGACAAGTAACTACAACAATTTTCATTACTTTAGACCAATTCTAGGAGCCTATAACCAGAAAATATTGGAAAGGGGCAAATAATTCACCTCAAGGTCAACAATCGTCCTCCACAAATGAGCACTCCAGTCATTTTGTAGAAAAAGTAGTACAACATTAAGTTAAACTTGCAGAAAAACAACATGTCAACAATACTCGTATAACTAGCTTTTAATACTAACAAACTTTGCAAATTAAATGTTGAAAAAAGCAGTAATAAAAAAAAATCTTCAATCTTGAAAGGTTAATTTCAAATTACTCACTTACCACGTGACAGAAAACAATTCTGGAATTCACCAAAGAAAAAAGAAAACACTTCTTGTACACCTTGTCGACATGCAAGATCACACACCGGCCTAGCCTGCACCCCCAATTCTCAACACCTGAAATACCAGGGAAACATTCATTGCAATTTGCATACCGCGGATTTGTATTATCTGTCATCATTCTTCTTGTATGCAATCAAATTCAATAAAATAAATAAATAATAAAAAATAAAAAATAAAAACAACCGGTCTTGAAAACAAGATAACGCAAATTCGAGAAAGATCCAAGATCCAGACAGAGGAATCAAAAACAGCAATAAGGAAAGCGAAGGACTCCTGTCTCATTGCACTCCAAACAGAAGAAAAACAGAATCGAGTTCAGTTCAAAATCAGAGAAGCAAAAGAAAAAGAAGATAAGGAAAACAAAAGCAAAAGATTGAAGAGGTATTGTATGTGGCAAAATAAAGAAGTTCAAATAACAAAAGGGTAAAACGAGAATCAGATAAGCAAAATCAATCCATTTATGAAAGGTTCTACTTGCACCTGTGCTTGTTCTTCGGCCTCTTTGTGTTGTTCTCCTGTTGTTTCTGTGCCGCTATTTGATCATCGAAGGGAGAAGACACAGACGAAAGAGACCAACAAAAGAGAACCCAGACATAAAAACGCTTAAAATGTAATGTCGAGAAAGCACAGTTCTTTTGTCACATGTGAATCCATTATATATTATTAAAAGAGACCATGGACCAAGCCCACGGCCATAAAGCCCATTATGTCATAAGTTCAAAAAGCCCACAAAACTATATTCGTTAGGGTCAGTTTAAGCGTTAAATCTTAAAAATTTAATAATAATAAACACAACTATTAAAATATTATTTTAATTCATTTTATAAATGTATTTACTTCATCATTAATTTATTTTATAGGCTAACTTTTTATTTTTTTTATAAAAACATTTAAAATAAAATATAAAAAAATTAAAATTAAAATAAAAATTGGAAATGTATGAAAAAAACCAAAAAATCAACTAGAAACCGGGAAAAAGAATAGAAAGAAAAAACTGGGAAACCCGCAATCAGCCATAGTGATAATATATGAATAATGTAAAGGTATTTACATTAATATTTAAAAAATTTGTTAATTTACAATTATTAATATTTTAACTTGTATAATATAAAGATAAATATTTATTTTACGTAATGAAAATTTATAATTACTAAATATTTTTATACATAAATTATATTATAAATAATTTAGGTTGCTATATAAAACACTTTTCATCATTAGCAAATTTTAATATATAATATAAAGTTAAATTTAACAAATAAAAATGATAAATTAAAAAAAAAATAGTGACTAGAAGAAACTCTTCAAAAACACTTATATTAAAAAAACTTCCTAAACTCATTTAATATAATTATTTTAATTTAAATATAAATTATTTTTAAAATATTTAATATATAATTATCTTTCACAGAAAAAATAAACTAAATTATCTTATTATACTTTTTTCTTTCCATTTCTTTTTATACACTCTTTTAGTGATCTCATTTTAAATACAATAATAAAGGTTTTGATTTGAAAAATTAAATTAATATAAAGTTATTGTTGTTAAATGAATAATCAATAATTAATATTTTAATAATCAATGTGTAGTGCCTGAACCAATGAACTGATTCTATACGGGGTTTTTTTTTCTTTTTTCATTTTATATTCCATTTCATACATTATTGGTCGAGCTACTTCGTGTTTAAAGATAAAATAAAAATAAAAATAAAGTAATGTTATAATTAGTCTATAAGTTTTAAGTTCTTGAATTTGATTAAAAATATTTATTTTTCTAATTCTTTAAAATAGAAGGGTACAATAGTCAACAAAATATGGAGATCAAAGTGGTTATTAAAAAGAATATCTCTTTTATTTATTAGTATAGATAAATCTCATCTTAAATTATTTTAGATAAATTATAAAAGTTTATAAATAGATAAAAAAAATAATGCAAACTGTCGTGCTGACACATGACCATGGAAAAGAAATCCTACATGCAACCACGTCAAGGGTTACACCAATATCGAAACAGGAGAATATTATGTTGCATGAAAGTCGCATGGAATCTTCCACAAAATCTAGTTCATCTAATATCAAGTCACATGGAGAGTGGTTAGTGGTCAAACGTAAAAACAAGAAAAGCGGGCACAAAAATAATGGCAAATCATCCAAGGATTTGTCCCAGATTTTTACATTCCAAGCTGGCAGGAATAAAGGGAAAGACGTTGTAGCCAAGGTGGGGCTAAAGCCCTCTCCTCAACACGGGCCTTGGGGTGGATCATCTCGGCAAGACATTGTGAGGCCATCGCAAACTCGAGTGCAAACAAATAATGGAAAAAAACGCTTCTGTTTGGAGGTGCAACATCCACCGCGTAGCCCATAACCCATCCCTGATGAGATTTCTAAGACTATGCCTGATCCTATGAAGGTTGCCACTCATTCAACTATCTTACGAGACATGGTGAGGGCGGCCTCTCAACTCATAACCTCCACCACGTACATGGTATTAGCTACACCATGCTAAATGACGATGCGTCCATAGAACCAAGCATGGACAATTCTTTGAGGAAGGAAAATAACTTGGAGGGGGTGGCACACTCTTCGGCAACCACCATAGAGGAATGATTAGTTTAAATCCTTTACGTTCCATATCCACGCTTTTGTTATCATGTTATTTCATGATATGAATCTCCTAGCATGGAACATTCATGGTGCGGTCAACACCAAAGGTAAATGACGTACTAGGGAGCTTGTATCCTGCTACAAACCTAGTATTGTTTTTCTCTTAGAAACACACTATCCTTTTCAAGTTGTTGCTCCATTCTGGCATAATCTTGGCTATGAAATTCATGGACTCTCTGAGGCGCAAGGGCATGCAGGGGGTATTTGGGCTCTTATTCAGAAGGATCGCACCTTCTGCGCTGACATTTTTTAGATTTCCAATCAAGTGGTCACTGTTAAACTGAGCACAGGAAGCACCAACTAATTTTGTTCTGCCATATATGCTAACTTGCATGCACAACAACATGATGGTCTTTGCCAGTATCTCAAAGAGTTGCGCTTGCGGATTCTCCAACCTTGGCTCCTATTAGGGGATTTTAATTAAATTCTATCTCCTACTAAGGTTAGAAGGGGACTCTTCTCCCTTGATCGAGCCTCTAAATTCCTTGACATGATTAATGCTTGTAACTTAATTGACTTGGGAACTACGAGTTATAAGTATACATGGTATAGAGGCACCGAGCATGGTCGTGTGGCAAAGAAGCTCGATAGAGGGTTGGGTGATCACTCTTGGTGCTGGACTTTCCCAAAAGCGTATGTGGAAGTCTTAAATCGTGTGTACTCTGATCATTGCCCATTATTGTTGTGCTGTGGTGGTTTACCGAAACGTCGAGGGGATAGGCCTTTTTGCTTCCTTTCCTCTTGAGCAACACATAAAGACTTCTCTCAGGTTGTGTCAATAGCGTGGAACAAAGGGGCTCCTAGAATTTGTGAGGGATTGAAATTCGTCCAGGAAGATGCTCTACGTTTTAACAAAAGGGTATTTGGTAATATGAAGGCCAAAAAGCATCAAATCCAGGCTCGTCTTCTAGGCATTCATAGGAATTTGGAAGTGCATACGTCTGAGAGCTTGCTCAGGCTTGAAGAGGAGCTACAATCAGAATATGATAATATCTTTCTTTAAGAGGAATTTCTTTGGTTCCAGAAATCGCGTGAGAAATGGGTTAAGTTTGGTGATCGGAACACACGTTTCTTCCATACCTAGACACTGATTCGTAGGAAGAGAAATAAAATTCATGGACTTTCCCTAGAGGATGGTTCTTGGTGCTCCAATCTGGATGTGTTACGCGTTGCAACGCAAAGGTATTATATAAACCTTTTCTCCTTGGAGGTTCCCACTCAACCTAATCCTTTACAGGTGGAGGAATTCTCGTATTTGAAGCATGAGGGCATCCAAAGTCTCCTTGCCCCAGTGTCCATGGAGGAAGTGTGAAAAGTTATCATGGGTATGAAAACTTTCACAACACCTGGCCTTATTGGCTTACCGACTTTCTTCTTCAAGCAATACTGGCACTTGATTGGCAAGGACCTTTGGGGCATGGTGTGAGATGCGTTCATTAATGGTGGAGTTGATCCAAAGTTATTAGATACTTTGATCACCTTAATCCCTAAAGTGGATAACCCCACCACATTGAAGGAGTTCCGCGCTATTAGCTTATGCAATGTTGCTTATAAAGTGATCTCTAAAGTTCTTGTAAATAGAATGAGACCACTCCTACAAGAGATTATTAGCCCCTTCTAAGGTAGCTTTCTGCCTGGCCGAGGTACGAAAGGCAATTCCATTCTAGCTCAAGAAGTCCTCCATCATATCAATTGAAATACTAGCAAGGTAGGGTTGGTCGCAATCAAAGTGGACCTAGAAAAAGCATATGACTGTGTCAATTGGGAATTCCTACGACAAACCCTACTAGATTTTGGATTTCCCATTAGAATCATTAATCTAATCATGTGAGGAGTCTGTGAGGCTTCTCTAACTATCCTTTAGAATGGCTCAAAGTTGGATCACTTTCACCCATCTCGAGGACTACGTTAGGGCGATCCTCTGTCGCCATATATGTTCGTGTTATGCATGGAAAAGCTGAGTTTATAGATTAATCAAAGGGTTATGCAGGAGGAGTGGCTCCCGATCACTCTATCACACGGTGGTCCTCCCCTCTCTCATTTACTATTCGCAGATGATGTACTTTTGTTTGGGAAAGCATCCATTGATCAAATGCATATGATAGCAACTATCCTAGATGCATTTTGTATGGAATTGGGACTCAAGATCAACTTGGGTAAGTCTAGATTTTTTTGTTCACAGGGAGTCAACCATGCACGAAAGGAGGATCTGAAAGTGAGCTTAAGTATTTGTTACACCAACAACCTTGGCTCGTACCTAGGGTTTCAATCACCCAGACGAAGTTCAACCACATGGTGACACAAATACAGGGTTGGCTAGCATATTGGAAAGGTAAGCTTCTAAACAAAGTTGGTCACCTTTCTTTAGCTAAATCAGTATTAGTCGCTATCCCGACGTATACAATGCAGCTTTTTTGGTTGCCACAAAATATATGTAATACCATTGATAGATTGTGCAAAGCCATGCTCTGGTCAACGTCAGGATCAACCAGGGTGTGGAACATTATTAATTGGAAGGATATTATAAAACCAAAATCAGAGGGTGACTTAGGCATGAGAGATACTAGAGCAACGAACATATCCTTACTGGAAAGCCTTGTTTGGGACCTTCTACAGATTACTAGTAAGCCTTGAGTGTAGGTTCTTGCACATAAATATCTTCAACAAGACTCCATCTTGAATCACTCCCCTCCCCATGGAGCTTCCTATGTGTGGCGTAGCATTAATAAAGCTACTTTGGCCTTGTAGACGTCATTTGGGCCTCAACTAGGTGTGGGACAATTACAATTTTGGTAAATTGGCTTGGGATCGGCCCTTTATGCCAACAGGTATCTTTTGTGCATATTCATGATTCATGACTACGACTATCTGAGCTTTGGGAACCAGATGGTTGGCAACTACAACATTTACATAGATGCTTGCCACAACATCTTGTGGAGCACATTCAACAAATTGCAATCCCTAAGAATCAGGTGGGTGAGGATAAAATTGTTTGGATGGAAAGTAACAACGAAGTTTTTTCTACTTCGTTAGGTTACCATCATATCCTAGGCCACGAGAGTCCTGTTGATAGGATTTGGAGGAAGTTTTGAAAGCTACCAATCCCTGAGAAATTGAAGTTTTTCCTTTGGCAAGTTTTGCGAGATGCTCTTCCCACGAACCATAAAAGATTTACGTGCCAACTAGCTTTGTCTCCAACTTGCACGCGTTTTTTTGCCATGGAGGAGACCATTTTTCATGTGCTTCACGATTGCCCACATTCGAGGGATCTATGACATCGTTTGGGCATCGCTTCTACGACAATGATGTCGACTCTTAACCTGCATTCTTGGCTTTGGCAAATTTTCACTCATGAAAATCAACTTCTGATCTTATCTACACTTTGGTGCAGTTGGAAATGGCAAAATGCCCAAGTAATAACTAACACCTCTTGGAGTGTAACATATGTTAGTCAACTAGTTCGACGACAAAAGCTTGAGTGTCAACTTTACTATTCAAGAACACCTCAAGAGCAAGATGGTCATTGGACTCCTCTTGACCAGGGAGACGTGAAACTAAATGTGGATGGCTCTTGCTCTAACCAGAAGATAATGGGTGGCAGAGGTGTACTCCGGGGTGGCCGTGGAGATTGGTTATTTGGGTTCTCCACATGTTATGGCCAAGGCAACCCTTTCCTCGTCGAAATTCTGGCAATAAGGGATGGACTGACACATGCATAGAGATTGGGGTATGTTAAGTCTCAATTTTACCTCTTTTTGGATGAGACTTATTGAACAAATTCCACTCATCCTTTGAACCATTGCAATATAATTGTTCTCTTTTTGGTTCATTTTGTGTGCAGATATAACTAACCCAAATTCATCTAACAATACCTTAATCCACCTCATTTTTTGTGCAGGTATTGAGGAAGAGTGGAAAGTTGAAGACTCTTAGGATTGGAAATCTAAGAAGCTAAGGAGCAGAGAAGAGGTTCTGCGCCGGGCGCAAGGTGATCCGCGCCAGGCGAGCAAAACAGAGTATCTCACCTCTGGGAGCCATTGCGCCGGGCGTAATGTGAATTGCGCCGGGCTTGTCCTAAGGCAGAGAGTATCTGGAAGGCCCCGCGCCGGGCGCGAAGACTTATGCGCCGGGCGCGAAACCCTAATCTGACTCCCCAAGCTCGTATTTGAAGCCATTTTCGGGGGAGAAACCCCCATTCTCACATTGGGCGCCTCCAGGAGCTGCGGAAGGGATTCCCAGGGCTTGGGATCGTCCGTGTGCGGATCTTTCCTTCGGTTCTTCACTTCCTCTTCCATCTCTATTTTGTATTTGCCCTCTTTGTTGAGTGGTTTCACCCATTTTGTGGGGTTAGATGTAGCCAACATACTCTATTGTAATCCTTACGTTTTCAATGATATATATATTTGTTGTTTCATTCATTGTTGTGTTTGTTTCTTTGCTTAATGCTTGCTTTGGATTGATCACCCTTTGCATGATTTAAGGTTCCATTGAGTATTGGGAAATACCTTTGAAATTAGTTCTGGAACATATGCCTAGTGGAGATTGTATCTAGGGATAGAGCTTGACCCATTAGTAGTCTTAAACCCTAGCCCGTAATGCGGGTGTAGGTATTGGGTACTCAAGGGATTGATATTCAATATCCGCACCTAGGCTCTTTCTCTAAGGGATTAGGTTTGAGTAAACTATTGGGTTGACTAAGCAATGAATTTAACAAGAGATTAAGGATACATTAGTGTTACGTTCGGTGAAATCTGACCCCCACAACCTCACAATACCATTATCCCATTTCTTCTCTTTCCCATTCTAAAACTAATCTTTTTATAGTTTTAACATTCCAATAGTCATGCTCTTCATCTCACACTTACATGACAAACTATGAAATTGGAATTATTCTTTAGTCACGAATAGTCAATAAATGCTTATATTACCTTCTAATCCCTGTGGATACGATATTTTTACTACTTGAACGACCGGTATACTTGTCGTGTTTGAGACCGTTGATAGAATTAAACGAAATTTCAATTATAACAAAAGTACTTCAACGGAAATCTCAACAGGGTACAGGAGTATAACCTGTGAAACAGACTGTGTGGAGGCAGTAGATGAAGTTAATATTTCTGATATGAGGGACCTGTCATTACAAGCACATAAGGATAAGCCTTTGCAAATACATGATATTTTGAGGAAGCATTGGAGTGTGAGAATTGTGCATATCCCTCGAGAATGGAATAAAGTGGCTGACTGCTTGGCTTATGAAGGGGCCAACAATTTGATTAAAGAGTTCATTACTCCTTCATCCCTAACCTTTAAAGTTTTCCTTCAAGATCTAGCGAATGTAGGCTAGTTGTTGTTTTCGTACTACTTTTTAATTTCCTTACTCTACCAAAAAAAAGATTATTTTTAGTTATTTATAGTTTCTTATAAAAAAAATATTAAAAAAAATAGATTAAAAGATACTACAACATTACAAAAAGTGAATACAAGTTGTTAAAAGCATTTTCGTTATAGAAAATAACTAAAAATATTTTTATTAAAAAATAATTTCTAAAAAATTCTAATTAAACATAAATATTCTAATTTAACAACGCCAACACTCAGTAGGTTGAAAGATTTTGCTGAAAATTTGCAATTTTGCATGATTTTTGTATACAAAGACTTTTTTTTTTTTATCCATGAAAATCAAACTAACAACCAAGAAATTTACAACCCTCTCTAACTTTGTTCAACTAACTGAATTGGGCTGCTTTCTTACCTGTATACAATGACTATGAAACTATGATCACATATTGAATATTACAGCTAAACAAAAATTAAAGTCATTCAATGCAAGACCTGTACATATTGATTTATGAAGATTGAAACTACAAGGTCAAAGAAACCGACTGAGGGTTCGGCAATAACAATAGCAATGAATATACATACATTTGGTGTATGATTCTTCAGAATGATCCTTTACCTATGATCCACAACCAGTCAAGAACAGCTCCAGCACATATGCCACTTAAAAGACACAAAACAAGCAAATTACCCAAAGCATTCTGCTCAGGACCCTGCAACACCACAATCAATTATTTCATGTTAACTACTTTTCAGAAGTCATTCTTATAAAACATTATAATTACAGAATATAAATAAATCACTAAGTAAATAGTTAAAGTAGAATCTTATTATCAGTTCAACGGGAACCGTTGAATGAAAGAAGCATACAACATTTTTATGAACAAAAGGGTTAAATATTTTAAATAATTGTGAACATATTTAATTTCTTCCTTAAGCAAATAATTAAGATAACTTAAAAAAACGTTAATAGATGCATTTGAACTTGTAGTTCAAGCGCACACCATAACAAACCATTAGTTTGACATTTGTGATCATTGTGGGTTGTGTGAACTTGCCTTGTAACCTCTTGGTGCCACAGTAAGTACACAAACTGTGAGATAACCATTGGTTAGTCCTAAGAAAGACACAAGCAAGATCATCCATCCTTCGTCACCATATTTTGCTGTGAAGTAGAACGCTGGGATCAGCAAGAATCGAGCAAGTGTTGCTATTAGTAGACCCTTTCTTGATTCCAACTTCAGCCATGGCACAAGGGGAATATATCTTGATATAAAATCCACCACATTATACATAGCAATCAAAACAACTGGGTACCTGCAAAGATCACACCAGTGCCAAAATAAATCTCCTTTAACTCTTTTTTCCTATCAGTCATCAAACGACAAAACGGACAAGCACTCAAAATCAAAGGATCTAATTACATTTTTTCTTTTTGAGGCCATGGTCAGGTTATGTATTAAGCATATGCTTATTTTATTTTCTTCCTTGGGGGTTGTTATACCTACATTCTAACTACGTTAAGTGGAGAATGTTTGCTCCAAAACTGTGATTAAAATTATGTCATATTATGTCAAAAGGCAATTGGAATAAAAAAGCAAAGCATAAATAAGTACTTACCACGTGCCTAACTGATGTGTTCCAGTATTTTCATACAAAAATCCAGGGAAGATCGACAATGTTATCGCATATATAAGAAATAAGTCAAGTGCATAATCAATGTTCTGAAGAAATAACTGTTTGTTGCCCAACCTCTCTTCTTGTTGTTTGTTATCAAATCCAACCTACAAAAGTTCCAAATCTTTCAGGATATGATAAAAGTAAAATATTTCGACGTGAGTAAAGTACTACTGTTTTAGCATAAATTGCATTATTATATTACTTCATCATCAGTCTTTGTTCGAATGCCCGCAGCAGCAAGGTCAGCTGAAACAGTTTTTGATCCTTCTAACGCTGCTTTTGAACGGTAATATTTCACTATGGGCAATTTGGTGAAGCAGATTGCATACAGGACTATACAAACTAACTCGATGAATGTGGAGATAGCCAAGAATAATACTGCAAAATAAGAAACCAACTCCTTAACTTCTACAAACATACTGATTGAGAATTGACAGAATCTTTATACTTGACAAAATACATAATCAGTTAATCATGACAAATATAAGATAACAATATAGACGAACATTGTACAATAAGAATAATAACGTACTTGCTCCCTTGCGAAGTCCATTATTAGATTTCTCGAAAGCCACCTTGGTCAGAATTCTCAAAAGAGAAATTAGAGCCCCTGATGCTGCCAAACCAGCAAGGTAGGACTGCAAAACATTATGTATTATTTAAACAAAAAAGATAGCAGAGGACCACAATCTACAAATTTGTAAACCCCTGCCTCCAATATATATAATATGTCTGAAAAAGGTTAACACTGAAAGATATTGAATAAATTACATAGAAGACAAACCTGGATAAACTCAGGGCACATAAAACACAGATCTCCTACCATGCCACCTTCAACCTGAGCATCTGCTATTCCAAAGCAAGCAGCTAGCACACATATACCAATATAAGGTCCAATTCCACCTTTCCCTGATGTTGCTAGATCCACCTATCGCAACACATTGTTGAAGCTTTATGAACCAAGGAAAATAGGTCACTAAGGAATTAAAAAAATCAGATGGAATTGGAAATGTTGTACTTACCACAAGAACAAGGAAAGTACTAACAAAGAAGAGAGCAAATCCAGCCAAATTTCGTATTCTAGTGTTGATCTTCGACTCATAGTATGCCATGATTATCATTGTCCCAATTGCAAATGGTTGATAGACCAGTGTGAGTACCCTTGCAGGATGATATTTCTTCATAAGGGAAACAAAGATTCTTTAGAATCACTAATCACAAATAACATTTTTCTATTTCCCATTCTTTTGTAGGACAAGCATTTATTCTGAGGGGAAAAAAACTTTTTATAATGATGTCAAATTCTATCAGAAACTGAAACCACATCAATTACTTACGGGAAACAGTATGTAATAGTAATCTCCTATCGTCAACATGCTGTTCCAGGAAACAAGGGATCCAATTCCAAGAACGAAGCAAATTGCTATTGCTTTGAATTTTCCCTGGTTGCATTAATCGATTGTGAACAAACTAACAAGATAACAAATTCCATTCTTGATAAATATTACCATTATGCATCTTAAAATTCCATTCTTGATAAATATTACCATTATGCATCTTAGCAATAAGTTCTTCCGTGGAAAATAAGATGGTGCACTTACCTCAAGTATTTTTTCTGCTCCACTTTCAACATTGACATCCATGACTACTCGTCTTAGAAAAAGAAAAGGTTGAGGATAGTCAATATTTAGCCACAATAACTATTAGTCCACAAAAATTTAAGTCCTTGAATAAGAATATCTTGATTAAATAGAAAACAAATATTATAGATGAACAAAATTATAGGCGGAATATAAATCTTCATCCACGAAGAACTTAAACTATAAGCTATTTAGTTACCTTTGAAGGAAGTGTACGAAGATGTATGAATAAATGACACTTAAGTGATTTCGTATCAATGTGGTTCAGCTTACACACTTCAACTGGCTAAGAAGATGTATGAATAAATGACACTTAAGTGATTTCGTATCAATGACTTGTGAAACATGAAGTGTACGAAGATTTAAAAGGAAAGAAGATGAATAAGATGATGATGAGGTAGATTAGAAAGGCATGATGCAAATATGGTTTGCAGATTTAAATATGGTAAGCACATGCCAGATCTTCTTTCTTCGATATTTCTTAATAATCACACAACTTGTCCTTAATCTTTGGATACTGAATTCTATTAATAAATATAGCATTGACCTAGACCTACGAACTGCTGGCTCAATAATTTAAGCCCTTTTCATAAAGGACGCGACAAAATTGACTCACATGAGAATTAGCTTGTACCTTAAAGCCACTAGGAAAACGCAATGATAAAGTTGACTGAATTATTTAATAATTAATCATGTGTAATCTATGTCTTTTTAGTGAATCTGAAAAGTATATAATTAAAACATTATTTATTTTTAATTTTATATAAAAATACTGAAAATTTAATTTTTCAAAATTTATCATAAATATATTTTTACTTTTATTCACACTTTTTGACAAACTTGCTTATTGTTTTAATAAAACTATTGACATCTTTCAAAACAACCATTGAATTTTGAAAAGCAATAAAAAAGGTGTAATTATGATAAGTATTTGTAAAACTCAACTGTTTAATTTGTCTTATTGCAAACACATCGACAACAGGTGGTAGACCAAATATACACAAAAACAACTTCCATACTAATAGATAATGGGATAATGGGGTTTAATTGTGGTGTATATGAGCTTTACACACTAATCAATTTAGATATTACGACTTGCATGACTTTTAAAATATAATTAGTTGATTGCGTAAAATTGATTTATACTTTCAATGTATTAGCGTTAAACTCATAGAAAAAGAGATACAAAAAAATAGTATTATAAGAGTAAAAAAAAATTATGTATTATATGCTTAAAATAAATATTTAAATGTATTAATTTTTATAAAATGAATGAGTTTTGATTTTGGTCTTTGTAAAAAAAAATTTTGTTTTCATTATTCTAAAATTTTTAAACATTAGTTTTATTTATATAAAATATTTTTTGTTGTTGTAAAATGAGTAAATTTTGCTTTTGATTCATGTAAATTTTTTTCTTCTATTTTTTTTTATCGCTCTATAATTTGAAATCGTTATTTTTAAAGCCTAACAATGATTTTATGATAAATAAATAATATTTATTTTAAAGACTTATAAAAAACTTTAGATGTGTACATATTAACACGATATCACTAATAGTTATATGTAATACATGAGATGATCACTTAACATTTTGATAAACAAACAAATGGTTAAAATTATGGATAAATTTCTTTAAATTAAAAAAAACATTTTTTAAATAAAATAAGAAATTTTTACTTTTTAATACATTTATCTAAACTTCTATTTTTAAAAATAATTAATTTTCTATTTTTTTTAAGAAACAACTCTTATTTACTTCTTAAAAAACTTCTTTTTTTTTAAAAGTACTTATTTATAAACACTTTTTTTAAAATTTTAAACAAAAGACCATATATAATAATAGGGACTTCATACACTGAAAAATATAATAACATAAACTAAAAACAATAATTCTAAATTTTATAAGATAAAAAACAGAATTTTTTTTACAGGATTTAAAATCAAAATTTATACATTTTAGAAGAATTAAAAATATATTAAATCCTAAAATAATCTACTAATAAATCATCTTTCATGGTAGTTTATTGACTTTCACAATAATTATAAAATAAATTATGTTATCCTCTCTCTTGATAAATAAGAATTTTACATTGTTCTCCCTTTTTATATTAAAATATATAATTTAACCTATTTAACTTAATATTGTTTATATAAATTATATTTTCTTCTTCTAAGAAATATAAGTATTACATTATCCACCTTTCATACAATAAAATATCAAATAAATCATACTTTTATAAATATTATATTATCAGTTTTATATTATATTAGTTTAAGGCATTTAACTTAATATTGTTAAAGAATAATTATTATAAGATTTTAGAATATACTTTTAATTTAATTATTGAGACAAAATATACTTTTAATTTAATTATTCATCCCTTCAAAAAAACTTAATTATTCATAAAAAAATATATATTTACTTAAAATATATTTTTATTTTAATTATATTTAAATTAATTTATTAAAATAATAGATGAAAAAAACTATTAAATAAATTATATACGTATATTTAATAATAATTATTTTAATTTAATAAATTAGTTTTTATATACAAGTATTAAAATTTATAATAAATATTTTTATTTAATAATAAATTTTTAATATAAATATATGTATTTAAAAAGCCATATATTTAATATACATATTTTAACATTATATAAATTAAATATAATAAATAATACTTTATCACAAAAAATAGCTTATTTAGATATTATTAAAATATTTTATTATCATAAATTATAACATAAATTATATATAATATAAATTAACATATATATATATAAGTATTGAATTTTTTAATAATTATATCTTATTTAATAATATATTTTTAATGTAATATATTTATTTTAAAATAATATATTTAACATACATATTTTAACACCATATTATCTAAATATAATAACAATAATTTATCATAAAAACTAATTGATTTAGATATTATTAAAATATTTTATCAGTAACATCAATTAAATAATATTTTAATACTTCTATATTACCTTTAATATATAAAATTAATATTATATAATAAAAATATTATCTTATTTAACTATTTATAAAATATTACATTAATTACATTGATTAAACAATATATTAATACTTGTGTTTGATTTATTATACTTACATATATTATTTTTATTTTGATATATAATTTTAAAAATATTTTGTAGAAGAAATAATGAAAAATATTTTTTTGAATTTATAATTAATTTTAGTAAAATTCATAATAATTTTAAAATAATAATTAAACTTGTTAATTAAGAGACAATTTATTTTTTTAACAGTTGTATAATACTTATATATCTAAGGAGATGTTAATATAATGAACATTTTTATAACAAAGTTAACGAAATTTTAACTAAAAAATTTATTCAAAAAAATATTATATATTAGAATCTACCAAAAAAAAAAGTATAATTTTTAACCTAAAATGAGAAGACACTCTAATATTTATATCTTTTGAGAGAGTGTTTGTAATTTACTCATAGTTATATACATAAAGACAAATAAAGGCAATAACGTAGGTCAAATCATTTTTATGTAATAAATAATAAAACAAAATATACCTAGCAAAATTAAACCCTTGGACGGTGATTAAAATATCTTGCAGTTGCTTCTCAAATACATAGAACTCAGTTTTTCCTATGTACAAATAAAAGATACAGAGAATTCAGGCTCCAAATTTCTTCATAAATCTAAATTATTAAACATTAAATTATTCTTACTTGTAATTGCAGCATAAATGAAGCACACATCAATTTCCAAAACTTGGGCAAAGCATTAACAAATAAATTTGTTGATAAAAAACTTTTGCAAGCAAAATCACAACGTTTCGCCCATAGGCCCAAACGCGCACACTGAAATCGTCACAAAAGGCGCATTACACGCAAACAACACGTGATCTTAGGTGAGAATAATCCATTTTCGAAAGCACTGATTTTCATTATGCAATGAATACAAAAGAAAGGAAGAAGGGGGTTTAGGTGATTACCAGAAGTAGAAATATTGTGTTACGCGAAAGGCAGAAGAGAAGACAACAGATTTTGGTTCTTCCCACACTCTCTTTCCTGTACGCATCTTCTCTCGCTCTGTCACAGCTCACAATGCCCTGTGTTGTTGTGTGTACCCTGTCCATCTTAAATACCTCCCGAGTCAACTTAATATTTATTATTTCTTAAAATCTTAATTAAATTATTTCAATTAAGTCTTTAATTATTTTTTTTTACCTAATGAAATTAGATTTAGATCTCTTAGAATTATTAGGTCTTTATAGTAGTGGATTGAGGTAATAAATACAAAATTTTAAATTTGAATTTTGATATTATTATTATTATTTTGATGAATCTAAAACAAAAAAAAAAATCTATTTGGAGTTTAAAAATTTTATAAATAAAAAATGTTTAAAAGGAAAATTTTAATTAAATATAATTATTTGGATTCACTTAAAAAAACAATTGTTTTAAGATATTAGTGATACATCTCACTTTTGTATCTTTACCATAATTAAATTAATATTTGTTATTTGTTAAAGTGTTAATTAATTAATTAATTAATTTTTAAGTTTCACTTTAATCTCTAATTATATTATTTTTCTTTAATTAAAAAATACATGATAAAATTTAGGGGTGAGCATTATTTGGTTACAAATGTATTCAAATCGAAAAAGGCCATCCAACATAAATCAAAACAAGAATATTTTAAATTATTTTTGACCAACTTCAACCCTAGGTTTATTGAGTTTGGTAAGATTAATGAATAGGTTGATTGGGTGGGTTACAATGGGTTAGGTCTTCCTTCCTCAGTTCGTTGACCTTGATCAAATGTTGGGCTTGTTCTTCTACCAAATAGGCTTCGGATTCCATCATTGAGGACTTGTCGAATATTGGCCTAATACCATACGGGCACCTTCATGATTACATAGCAAGGATCCAAATATTATGTGGCTTACCGAACAAAACATTCTTAAGATTGAGTAGTATTGAACCTGTCGAACATATTCCTCTGATCAAATGGTAGATTGTAACGTTCAACTATTACACGAAAATAAAGGTTTTGAATACACTCAAAGTCTCACAAACAAATCGAAATGCTTGTAAGAGAACCCAATTGTTAGGATGAAGTTGTGACAAGACTACATTGAGGATTGTTCGGAGGAAGTGGTGACGAGACTACATTGAAGGGGAGATGGATGTTCAAGGGTTTGAAGTGACACTCATACATGAAGAAAAAGCACACCTCGTTATCGTTGACTTCTTGACATACCCTTTCCTATTCCAAGGGTCTTTGAGCCTCTACAAGGTCTCCTTTCCCAAAATCTATTAGTATTCTAAAAGAAGTGAATTAGTAAGGCATCATTTATTAACTTAGAGGAGTACTCGAAAACTTTATCTAGGACCTAGTTCGAGTACTCCTTTATGTTCGTAATGAACCTCACTCTTGCGTTAGGGACCAATATAAGGTCCAAATTCTCCTTAGGAAGGGTCACATTACTCGAACCAGTCGCCTTGTTCTCGACCTAATTATCCTCGATAAATCGAGGCACCTTAGCGATTAGCTTAGGATGATCTATCTAAAAAGGGGCTATTAAGACACTAGGAGTAGAAAAGGAAGGGTGGGAACTCTTGGAGGAAGAGGTTGAAGAAGAGTTAGAAATAACATTAACCTTCATTCCACCTAGGAGAGGAAATTCTACGTTGTTACTAGAATAACTCATAAAAAGATAGGAGGGGGGCATACATGATCAGTAATTGGCTTTCAGACACTTTAAGGGAGGCAGAATAGCAAGTGCTTAAAGTATTTGGAAAGTAAAGGTTGTAAGTAAATCTTTGTGACAACTAAGGGACCTTATTTATAAATGTGAAGGGCTCCAAGAGATGAATTGTTGCACCTCTCTAAACTGTTAGATCTCTTCAAGATCAACGGTGGGAAATGATGTAATTTTTCGCATCCTTGATACATTTCATACCTATGCTTCCAAAACCTTCCTAAGACATTTGACATGTCATCATTACACTTGACATGACCACTGAAATGACAATGTATCCTAAAGGCGAAGATCCCAAAAATTTAAGGGTGGGAAACAAGTTTTTTTTTCTCACCAATAAGATATTGAACTCTTCTCCCAAGAGTCAAAGACTTGGGGGCTTATATACTGAATAGACCCCAAATTCCATCATCGAGGACTTGTCGATTCTCGACCTAATACCATAAAGGCACCTTCATGACTATATAGCAAGGATATGAATATTACATGTCTAACTGAATAGAACATTCTTAAGGTTAAGTAGTACTCAGCTTGTCAAACACATTCCTCTAATCAAATGGTAGATCATAACGTCTAACCATTACATGACAATAAAAGGTTTTAAGTGCACTTAAATATCTTATCAATTAACAGTAACCTCTTCTCTATTGTATATATACTTGCATTTCATCTTCAAAAGGTACATTTAATCTTGAGATTACACTATACACTACAAAAGAATACTTATTTACTTTGACATCAAAGTCCCTTTCATATGTACAACAACCAATTTAAACACTAATGACCACTAATCGAAGACTTTAGATGAGTACTTTTTCTCAACAAGTAAAATTCTCATGACTTTGTGTAAGAAAATTATTTATCTTGCACCTCCATTTTGGGATTGTAGTCTAAAGATTTGAGCTTGTTGTAGATAGAGACCTTCACAATACACGATGGTAGCAAGCTTGTTGCAAAAATGGCAAGCCTCACAATTGGCATTAAGGATGAATACAATAAAGTCTTTAGCTTACTCCTTTTCCATTTTTTGTTGTTTCTTTCTATTAGATTTGAATTCTAATGTAAGTTTTTTGGTAAGAATTTATTTGACCATGGGCAAAAAGATGGAGTGTGATAGAAAAATAATGAAAGTGGCAAAAAAAAAAAGAGTAAAAACTTGATGAAGTGACACAACCTATTATAGTCACATGTTCAATGAGCACTAGTATACACTCATATACACTTTCTCAATCTTTTAATTTTTATTTTATTAATTTTTAAAAAGTGCACACTTTCACTTACCTAAAAACACAATATATCATAAGAGAATATAGAAGTTCGATTGGGTTGAATTTCCACACAAAAAGAACATTTTGTTGAACTGAATTCGTTGATTTTATCCATTATAGACCAATTTTTTTAATCCAAAGAGTTACTCAAACTAACCCAACGACTATCCTTTTATATGTTCATATAGGTCAGATGTTGGTTAGGATTTAGATTTTTGCTCAAACCTAATAAAAATGATTCGATATATTAAGACACTTATATCAATTCACAAAATTTGTTTTCTTTATTAAAAATTATGATCCTAGATGACACAAATATATTGTTGTGTTTGATTTAAGAAAAAAAAATCACATAACACAAATAAAAAGAAGTTGAATTGAGCGAATAGAATAAGAAATGTTAGCAACTCTTTTTCTAAAATTATCTTTATTATTCACTAAAAATTATTTAAAGTAATGACTTTTTGTAAAACATGAATTTTATTAGAGAAAGTGTCGCTATCATTTTTCAAGCATAACTTATTATTACAATAAATTATGAGACAATTTTTTTATAAATATAAAATACTTTAAAAAAAATACTTATACTTATACTCATTTTTTTTATATTCAATGATTTTCTCCCCAATCTCATTTTTTTTTATATTCAATGATTTTCTCCCCAATCTAAAACATGGCTCAAAGAAGAGTATTTTAGATTTTAGATACTGTTTCATTTTAGAATGCTTCTGATTTTCCTATGAGCCACAACCAATCAAGACAAACCCCAGAAAATATTCCGAGCAAAAGAAACAGCACGAGCAAATTACCCAATGCATTCTGTTCAGGTCCCTACAAAACCATGAAACTATGATGAGCAATATAACCAATTGACATACGCAGTTCATCCTGGCACAATGATATATGAACCTTCAGGTTGAAAAGAACATTACCTTGTAACCTTTGGGTGCCTTGGTAATTACGCAAACTGTGAGATGACCATTGGTTAGTCCCAAGAAAGATACAAGCAGGATCATCCATCCTTGGTCACCATATTTTGCAGTGAAGTAGAATGCTGGGATCAACAGAAATCTTAAAAGTACTGCAATGAGTAAGCCCTTTCTGGATTCTAACTTCAGACATTTGATGAGGGGAGTATATCTGGATATTAGATCTAATACGTTGTACATTGCAATCAAAACAAGCGGGTACCTAAAAAGAACACCATATGATGAGTCATGTCATGTGAAAACCCACTTGGATGCCCAAAAGATTGGGAATTAATAAGCGCTTACCATGTTCCTAGCTTGTGTGATCCAGTATTTTCATACAAGAATCCAGGGAAAATTGACAATGTTAGCACATATATCAGAAACAAATCAGTGGCATAATCAATGTTCTGAAGAAGCAACTGTTTATTGCTCAGCCGTTCTTGTTGTTTAGCATCAAATCCAACCTGCAATAATTCCAAAGTCTTTCATGTTACTGAAATATACATTATTGAGCTTAGTGCAATAATCAGTTTAACACAAGTTACATTACTTGCAGGTTGATCTCATTATGGATGCCGGCAGCAGCAAGATCAGCTGATACAGTTTTCGATCCTTCTAAAGCTGCCTTTGAACGGTAGTACTTGACTATGGATAACTTAGGGAAGTACATTGCGTAGAGAATTACGCACAGAAACTCAAAAAGTGTAGCGATTGCAAAGAATAGCACTGCAAAAATTTGGAAATAACCAATCTTGTATCAAAAAGAATAGAAGCTTCTAAAGTTAATTGGTGATTACCAATTGTACCATGTTGTATAAAACTGCCATAATGGAAACAAGTGTGTGAGTAAAACTGATATGTGTAGGTGTATAAGCGAATCAGAGTAACATACTAGTCCCTTTTCGAAGACCATTATGAGATTTCTCAAAACCCCATTTGGTGAGAAGTCTCAAACCAGAAGCTAGGGCTCCTGAGGCAGCCAAACCACCAAAGAAGGACTGCAAAACATTAAATTGGTATGATTAGGCCGACGAGACTTGTGTATCAAGACAGTAGATGTGGTTTTTCTATCGTGTGCAACTTTAGAGAAGTTAAGCTCTATTATTACGGTAACAGCATATTTTTGTTTCTCATTCTCTTTTCTCTATATTTTCATTTCTTCCCACGGTCAAAAACAACTCGTATAATTAATCCTTAAGAAATGAATATTTTAGCCTATCCATAACCCAAGATATGATGCTAAAGATGATTCATTTGCTCCCCAAGTGGATAAGAATTTCTCAAAATATAGAACACGGGGGCAATAAAAATATTATGGGAAAGACCAACCTGGATGAACTCAGGACACATTAAAGACAAGTCTCCAACCATGCCACCTTGGACAAGAGCGTCTGCGACTCCAAAACAAGCAGAAAGTGCGCATAAACCCGTGTAAGGTCCAATTCCCCCTTTCCCAGAAGTTGCTAGATCTAACTGTTACACAAAATATTCTGAAGCTATTATACTGCACACAAAGCAAATTTGATGAAATTAACAATCACATAAAATAAATGCAGCAAAGTTATGGCAGAATAGAGTTTATAGGTTTTAATCTTTTCTAAAGTCTAAACCAAAAAAGAAAAAAGAAAAAAAAAAAGTGAATTGCAGAAGTTGTACTTACGACAAGAACTAGCAAAGTAGAAATGGAGAAAAGAGAGTAGCCAATTAAATTCCGCTTTCTAGTGTTGATCTTGGACTCATTATAAGTGAGTATTGCCATAGTTCCAAGGGCAAATGGTTGATAAATGATGGTGAGTACACGCGAAGGATGGTATTTCTACAGCAAAACAAAAACTTTTTAGATAGACCAATAATACCATATAATTCTTTCACAAGTATACAACATAGAAGAAGAATAAATCATTTTGGTTCATTCAACAGATACTTACAGGGAAGAGATTGTAGTAATAATCTCCTACAGTCAACATACTGTTCCATGCCACAAGGGATCCTAATCCAAGAATAAAACACACTACGGTACCTTGAAATTTTCCCTGTTTGTAATAAATTAATCCAACCATTGCATGCAAACAGAGCAATAGTGATGAATGAAAAGTATTAAAAATATATATAACACACCTCCAACCTTCCTGGCCCTTCCTTTTCATCAGAAGTAGTCATGACTATTTCACTGTAAGAAACAATTCATCATATTTTTTTTCATGAAACGTTTTCAAGGAGATACTTCAACGACCATTTGGAACTGGAAAAAAACACAATGAAGAGAAGAGAAGAAACATACACGAATTACAAAACCAGACGTCTCTTGAGCAGGCACAAAAAACAGATTCGGAATTCAAACAGCCACCCCTACCAATTTATGATTTAGCCATATAGCATTCTATATATACATTTTTTTGTTAAAAATATCTTAAAATATGTGTACCATATATGCTATTGCTATAGCTTACCTTCTTTACGTAATTTAATTAAAGAATTTTTTAAAATTACTCGAAGTGTTTATCTGATTTATTGAGAGTATGATCTATGTTCAACACTAATATGAAAATTTAAATTCACTTTTAGTTTCTCTAATTTTTTGAAACTATAATTTTGGTCCCTCAATTTTTTTTTAACAAATTAGGTTTTTTAGTTTTCAAAATTCAACAATTTTGGTTCATGATTAATATGTCATTCAAAATTAAATAGAAAATACTGACATGGAGTATGAATTATGACTTATGAGTGACATTAGTTGATACTTAGTCACATATGAAACTAGTAATATGAAAAATTAAACAAAATTGTTTAAATAAATTATAAATTTTAATTTAAATAAAAAGGAAAATAACATATTTGTAGAAAAATAATAATATTATTCCTTATATAACTGTGAGGTGATGTTACTTATGTTCATTTTCAGTTTAATTTTGGATGGTATATTTATGGTAGATCAACATTGTTTAGTTTTAAAAATTAAAAAGATTAAATTTATAATAAAAAAAAAATTAAGAATCAAAATTCTACATTCACAAATCTATAGGAAGGGAAAATGCTTTTGAAGAGGCATATATTTTCAATTTTCATCAGTAATGAAGAGTGTTGGTTCTAACATATTTTAAAATTAAATTAATGATTTGATAAACAGATTATTTAACAACGAAGAGTGGCGTTTAAAAATGTGAAGTTTACAAGTTTGAATTTTGAAGTTGAGGCAGCGTAGAAGAAACAAAGAAGACGTCAATTGTGTTGTCTACTTTTCTTTGACAAAACGTGTAACGTCCATTTCCATTCCTTCCTTAACAATAATTTATCACTCAGAATTGGATTTTCTCAATGTTATTTACTAAAAGGATAACGAGTTTTTTTATTCATAAAAAGAAAAATATAAAGATATCTTAAAGTTATATCGCGGCAGAAAATATATAAACATACTTAAAATGAAATTTATTAACATATCCAGGACGATGTAATCAGTAGAAAATCACGTATTTGATTTTTTACTGTATTTATATTAATAAATTTATTGTAAGGATTTATTCACTTAAATGGTAAGGATTTTTTTTTATTATTATAAAAATATCCCAAGGATATATCGCGAGAGAAAATATATAAACATAGTTAAAATGAAATTCAACATGTCAAAGATGATGTATTTAATAAAAAAAAAATCTTGTATTTTTTAATATTTATATTATTATTTATTTAAAAATTTATATGAATACTACAAAAATCAAATACAAAATTTTTCACTAAATACATCATTATTGACGTTTTAAAATTTATTTTAACTATGTTTATATATTTTATCCCACGATATATCCTTAAGATATCTTTATATTTTTCTTTTTATGAATAAAAAAGTCCTTATTATTTAAGTAAATAATCCTTATAATAAATTTACTAATATAAATACGACAAAAATAAAATACAAAATTTTCTACTAAATATTTGATCCTCGACATGTTAATAAATTTCATTCTAACTATGTTTACATATTTTCTCCCTCGATATATCCTTAAAATATAAAATAAAATTATTTTTAATTATTAATAATTTATTCTAAAATTATTAAAATTTAGTTTCTAGATAAATATGATAAATAGAAATTAAATTAGATATGGGATTAAAAGAATTTCTAAAAATTTTCTCATCAAATTTATTATAAAAAATATTAAATTTAATTTTTAAATAAATATGATAAATAAAAATTAAATTATTTAAAAGTTGAAAAAATCTCTATAGAAACACTCTCATTAAAAAAAGTTTTATGAAAATATTATAAGATTCTATATTTAATATATAGTGATTAATTAATGAATAAATAAATGAGATGTAAATTAAGAATATTATCAAATTTTGTATTTTTTATTTATCAGAATTGAATAAAAGCACTAATATTTGAAGTTAAGACCATGTACATATTACTTTAATTCCAATAAAAAAATAATCACTGCAAAAAAATATATTTAAATATTAAATAAATGTAAATATTAAATAATTATTGTATAATTAAATATAAAAAAAATATTGAATTGATGAATCATGCAGCATATGCAAAGCAAAAATACGACAATTGAGTACTTAAGGACCAATTGTGTAATTAAGACCTGAATATATTATTTCTATTATGTATAAAAGGACATATGACAATATATTTATAAGATACATTATTTATAATAATTATTTATATTTCTTAGAATATGATAATTTTATAAGGCCAGATGATTTTTTAAGAAAAATCAAATAATTGGTATATTAATAAATACTAACAGTCTAAAATTTGGGAATTAATTGAATTAATGAATGAATAAATGAGAAAATCCAATCGAGAATTGCCCTATTATATTTTTGAATAAATATTCTAAAAATAAAATTATTTAAATATTTATATGCTTAACTACACTTTTACTTTTCAATATGGGTGTAAGGAAGTACAAGTAATCTTGTGAATTCAAGTTAATCTAAATCGATTTAGGAAATTTGGATCGAATTTTTTTAGTATTTGAATCAAACCCAATTTAATTTGATCAAAACTTGACATTGTATGGGTCGAGTGATGGATTTTGAATTTTTTGACCCATGATTCAATCTAACTAGGTCATATATAATATAAAAAATATATATTATAATAAAAATAAATAAATAAACAAAAATAAGTGTTTATTCAAGATAATACTTGTTGTGAGTATTACTTAATAATGAATTTTGTGTTTTTGAATTGATAATATTATAACAATATAATATATTTATTTTAAATTTTATTTTGTATTAATGTTGATTGTTTGAGCTAATAAGAATAAAAACAAATAAAAAATATATATATTTTAAAATTTAGTTTATATCATTATTTGTTTCATGAATTGATAACATCGTATTTACAATAAGATATCAAATGATTTATATTTATTATGAAACATTTCAGTTTTTATAATAAATAAATAAATAAATATAATTATGTTGAGTCGATTAATCCAATTCAACCAAACTTATTCGTGATTGGATTGAATTGGATTGGAATTAAAAAAACAAACTTGATTTAATCCAATCAATTGAATTTTGATCGGATCGAGTAATAAATTTTTTCAGATTCAATCCAACTTACTTATGCTCCTATTTTTCAAGTATGAGAATTTTGTGATTTTCCCTTCACAATCTTTCATTAAAAATTTAATGATTTTTGTTAATGTGACAATTACATATAGCACTTGATGCCAATAATATATATATATA